CTAGGTGGCGGTTATGGCGGGCGGTTCAACTTTCAAGGCAGAAGTAATCATTACGCGTCTGTTGGCCTCTGTGGGACACGTGTTGTTGCATGTGCTCCTCGTCCCGTGTCATTTAGATACTGGATCACCAGAAGGTGGAGATGCCTATAAATACTAGCTCAAATGAGTCGCTTAGGGTTTCCAAATTCTTGCTCTACTATTCTTCGATGTTGGTTGCTATCTCGCTTGGATCCTTCGATCTAGTGTTTGGTGCTTTTGTGATTTAGATAATTTCCTTCCCCGTTTTCCTCTTTTGTTTTGTCTTCGGTTTTCCAATGTCAGACCTTATGGAGATAGCTACGGATTCCCGTTTGTCCTTTGAATCCGACTCGGAATCCCGATCATCAGGAGAAACTAGTTCTTCTGATAGCTCTGGGTCCTCGACCACGACCGGAGAAGTTATCACTGATGCCATTGATGGGGACATTGTTCCCCACGACGATGTTAGAGAGGACATTGTTCAAGAAAACGTCGCCCAAGGGGAGGCTGCCCAGGAAAATGTCGTCGAGCCTCAACCCGAAGATGTTGACTCCGGTGATGAAGCTTACGACAACGATGACTTGACCGTCTTTGAGCTCGGTATCCCCTAGGCATTCCACACCATGTGGTGCCGTTGAAGAATGCCCATGGCTGCGAGCAATCTTTTTCTGATAAGGCTTTGCAAGAAATGCGATTGTACTTACCTCCGCCAATCGTCTACCGCCTGCGATGGGTGGATCATCCACTAAAACGACATCCGAGCATGTTGATGGTGCACTTAGATTCGGTGAAGGGAGGGCTACGATTCCCCCTCCACCCCTTTTACCTCAATCTCTTTCACCGTGTATGTTTATCCTCAACTGTGTATGTTTATTTTTAAGATTTATAGTTTAATTCTCAATTTTCATTGCAAGCGTAAACTAAGTTTAATATACTTCCATGTCATCAAACATTTAGCATGTGTTAAAGTTCCACTCTAACCTTAGCCAATAAAAGAGTATACAAAATGATGAAAATACAATCACATACAAAAAATGTTACCTACAACTGATTGTAGAAGAGAAAATGACTTCTTCTCCAATTCTTCAAAATAATGCAAAAAGGAAATATAAAAACTGAAATTTAAATTTCAAAAATGGATTGATCTATCTTGATTGATAAACGGAGAGGCTTTTTATAAGCTTATTTGAATCTTTTAATCTATTCAAAGCTCAATCAAATTTAAACAATTCGGTATGAATGTAGTATTTGATCAGCTCAATGGAAAGGTAGATTTCTCCCATCAAGAACACCTTTCACAGCTCATTATTTTGTGCAAATTTTGGCCAATTGAAACCTGACCAACACCAGTTCTCTCAACAATTGATTCACATGTTCTCTAAAAGTAACCAGCACCGGTAATAAGGCCAAGCCAACACCAGTTTGTTTTTGACAATTCGAACCCAGAAATATAACATACAACCAGCACAGGTTATACAGCCAAACTAACACCCATTTCTTCTAGGGATTTCGGAGGCCTTCGATTACAAATCTGGACATAATTTCTTCATCAAAGTTGTAGCTAAGGAAGTCTTCTATCTCCCAAAGCCTTCTTTTTATTTGTTGGAGACCCATTTAATGGTTCTTCATAATTGAATATTTCTATTGTTAAAACAAGGGTAAACTGACAACATAGGAGGGTGAAGTATGGAGCTTTGCTTTTGTTCTAAATTTGTACACTATGCATCTTTTTTATAACTTTGAAAAACTGTCACCATTTAGGAGTGAAAGAGATGGTTTCTGGAGAAAAATATTTTAGTTAATCCAATAATGTGAGTAAAAAAAAGTTTTTCAACCAAAACCCCTCAAAGAAAAAATTTAGCCACGAGAATGATCAGCTAGAGCTAATACATGATAAAATGCCATCACGTCAGCCATCAACATGTTATAACTGTCATCACCTCATTCTCCAAGTCCCATCAATGGAATGAATGGATTAAACAATATATATAATATATATACTCCCTCCCTTTCCGAAACAAGTTCCACAATTGACTTCACACATATTAAGAAAATAAATTTGACTTTACTGTGGAGTGCACTGTTTGGAACTGTTTGAACACTGTTTGGCACTGTTTGAACACTGTTTGACACTGTTTGACACTGTTTGACACTGTTTTGATGTAGATAATTTGCCAAATAAGGAAATGTTTGAAAGTGAAACTTAATTTTGAATCTGTCCGAAAAGGAAAGGTGGAACTTGTTTCAGAAACAGAGGGAGTATATATATAAAGGGCAAAAAGTATGTTTTTCACTGCAATTAGAAGACATTTCAACCAATCAGCACTCAACAGCACAATTTCTTGTGATAATATAAGTTGTTAATTGACAATCAATGGATAGTGTGAATTATAGAATAAATTAAACAAGAAAATACAGAAAGGGCAAAAAGTCTGTAGTTTTACCAAACACTATCTACTATCTAGGCATATAGTGGGCAAGCATAAGAATGATCAGCTAGAGCTAATACATGATAAAAGGCTATCATATTTTGCCATCAATGGTATATCTTCTCATCATTTCATTCTTTAAGCGCCCACAATAAAAAAACAGGAAACAAGATTAGGTAGATCTATCTAATAAATGATAAATGTCTACTAAACTTTCAACCATTTCATATTCTAAAACAGAGCTTTTTATGTTTTCAACAGCTAATTATCTTAACTCACAAAATAACCACTCTAAAAAGGGAAAAACTATAGAAATGATGTAAAACAAAGAATAATAAACTTAAAGAGCAAAGAATATATAACAGTTAACAAAGAATGATCAGTCAGTACGAATACTTGTAATGCCATCATAGCAGCAGTCAAGATTTTGACAATAATCATCATCTCATCCTCTAGATAATCCAAATTATATAGAATAATTTAATTTTTTAAAGCAATCTACAAGTAAAGAAGTGAACGCAGATCGGCAAAAGAATGCAACTTTCTAGCAAAAAAACAAAGGGAAACGCAAATACAACGCCGTAAGTTTTGAAGGTTTCAAAGAATCAATCAGACGTACTGTATTCAAGAAAAGATATCGGAATTGATCCAACCCTGAGATAAACAAAAACAGTTATATACTCATATACGGCCTAGGGCAAACGCGGGCTTCTAATTGGGTAAGGACGACAAAATTATGTATTCTGGTAGCCTATCAGGTTTGTCTGAACTTATGGCCCAAACTGACGATTGGCCTGTTTCGGGGTGAATTTATTTGTTTAATAATGGGTCTCTAAGAGACTTTTCTCCTTTCACATTGTATTCGGAAGGAGTATGTGAATTATGTAATTTTATTATTTGTTGAAATGTTTTTATTTTATTTTTTTGGTACAAATGAAAAGTGAAAACAAGTTTAAATAAGTTAGAAATAATTCTCATTGTTTATTGATGATTATTTAATTTAATTCTTATCGTTATATTTATTTTTGGCTCATTATAGAACATATCTCCGAGGTCCATGTGTGATTGATCTCGTGAGTAAGCATGGACTCGGTCTGGGCCGATTCCGGTCCCGAACAGGCTGGTCTTTGAAAAAATATGGAGGATCGGGATCGAGACCAGGTCCTCTATTTTTTATCACTGTCCTGGTCTAAAAAAATGGAGGCCACGGGACTAGAACCTCTTTCCCACCGAACTGGAACCTTATTTTCCAATCCCAGGCCCAGTTCAAAACCTAACGGTTCCGAGTCTGGAATGACTCCATGCCTAGTCGTGAGTAGTGCAGAATGACACTTGGGGATTTTTAAAAGTTATATGCAAAGATGTTACCGATTTTCATGATTAATAATGGTGTAATGATAGCTTGAGTTACGGGTGAACACAGTCGTGTCATAGCACCAAACTTGGACCTGACAATTTTTTAACTGAGATTGAAAAGTAAGATTTATGGTACTAGGGCCGGTCGATTTGGTCCCGATTATGATCCTTTTTTGCATTTGAACCATTGTGAAGCATTTAAAAGGGATGAGGATGGTACATTTAAAAGATTAAAAGGGCGGGAAGGGCGATGAAGGATTTTAAAATGTATTTAAAAAACTGGAAAAGATAGGGATCAGGGGGCTGAACTGGAATTGGAAATATAAATTCTGGTTTGGCCCCAATCTTTTTTCTCAAATGACCAGCTTGGGATCAGAACGGACCTGAAACCAGATTGTGTCTATCCATAATACAAATTGGTTAAACTTATGATGAGTTTCATTCTCATTTATAAATGAATAAACATCAATAAATAAACAAATAAATAAATAGATAAATAAATAAATAAATAAATAAATAAATATAATGTGTGTGCGTGTATAATCATTTATTTACTTCTTTACTCGTATTTATTATGTTATGGCTCACGAGCTCAAGGGAATTGAGCTCGAACTTGCTTGTTTGCTTAACGAGCCCGCTCAAGTTTAGCTCGAGTTCAAATTTTATCGAGCTGCTCATGAGTTGACTTATCGTCAATTGGTGCTATCCACAGCTTTTGTCGATGATCACGTTCTTTAAGCGATCTTTAAAAATATGTCCACACATTCAATGCATGCACATCTCTATACCATACAATAATGCATGTCTAATTGTTGTCTGATAAAACTTAGGAAAAATTGAAAATAATAATCTCAACTATTGCCGGTCCGTTAACAATAATCCCAACTATTGATTATTTTTGTATAATCCCAACTATATGGACCGTCCGCCAATAATAGTCTATGACCGCATATTACTTGCTCTAACAAGTGAATTTTTAATAGAAATTAAGCGTAAAAATTAAAATTTGGGATTCTTTATAGGGATTACCTATTATATCTCTTTAGAAACTATAAGAATTTATTTATAATCGGTCACGTCGGACCATTATTGGCGGAAGGTCCCTAAAGTTGGGATTATTATGAGCGGACCGACAATAGTTGAGATTATTACAATCAATTTTTCCTAAAACTTATCCTAATGTGTGTGAGAGAGAGATTCCTATTTTATAACTAAAATATAATTCATGGATAAACATATGATTATATACACTAGAGTACTAGACTATCATTGCTACAGTCAAACTATAACATTAGTGTAATCACCAGTCACTGCAGAAATAATACTATGGTCACTAACTCACTATACATAAAAAATTGAAAAACTGTACAAATATACCCTGTAGTATGGGTGTGAAAATAAATATACTCATGTTCTATTTTTCGGAACAAATGTACCCCTGAAATATATGTGGAAGTGCATATAAACTCCTGAACTTTTTAAAAGATGCAAATATACCCCTCATATTTTTATAAAGGAGCAAATATAATCGTATTGACTTTAAATTGATAAAGTAAATTTCAAAAAACACCAAAGATAAATTATAAATCAAAATTAAAAAAAAAAAATTAAAAATGTGCTTGTGTCCAATTCTCCCTTTTGTTGTTTGTATATCACATTTTAATATTGTTAGTATAAAATGTTATTTCAAAATTTTACTACATATTTAAGATTCTTTCGAAAAAAGTGTAAACATGCGTGTTCCAATATAAAAAATATATTAATTTTTTGCAATCTTTGCACTATAAAATTACATATTTTGTATGATGATAAAGAGTTCAAGATTACAAAATAGTGAATTTAATTTTATTAATGTTAAACAAAACCAAAATATGATATTTCAAAAAATATAACAATGTGTTCAAAATTTCACAACAAGACTAAAATTAAAATTTATGAATTTGAAGTGCTTCATTTACAACAGAAAAAATAAAATTTTGCAATTTAAAATTAAATAGTTAATATTTTAACATAATAATAAATCTATATTTTTAAATTTCGAATTTATATTTTATATTTGGTGTTTTTTGAAATTTATTTCATCTATTTAAAGTCAATAAGGGTAAATTTGCTTCTTTGTAAGAACATGAGAGGTATTTTTGCAATTTTTAAAAGTTCGGGTATATATGCACTTCTACATATACTTTATGGGTACATTTGTTCCGAAAAATAGAACATGAGTATAATTGTTCTCTCACCCATAGTACAGGGGTATATTTGTACCTTCTCCCTAAAAAGTTTTATTTGTCAATATTTCACACACATATTAGTCTCCAATGAAAGCATGGGGATCATTTCATTGGATCTTCATAAGCGCATGTTTGGTCTCCGCAATAACAACGTTCTTTAGTTAATTCCATTTCCACCTAAAGCTAATACTTAAAGGAGTCCAAGAAAAGTCCAAGGGTGAGTCCAATTTTCCAGTAATTGAGCATGGTGATTAGATCCTTTGCCTTATCTACAAAAGGATACAACGTTTTGTACATGAGAGCACCAATGGCCTCCACCACAGCCACTGCCAATGCAGCAGAAAGAACATCCCAGTCACCAGTTTGCCCAATTACTGTGGCAAACGCTGTTGCACAATAAAAGCCAATTAACAAAAGCAGCAACTTCATGGGAAGATTCGCCCTGAACCCCTTCATTCTTGTGTTCAGTTTGGCTTGAAGAGCTTCAATGGCCCTAATAAGTCGAGCTCTATTGCTGTTGTCACTGGTAAAAGAAGAATTCAATCCCCTGCCATCTGCATTGCTTCTAAGCGACCATGCAATCTTCCTAAACACGTTAGAGACAAGGTTTAGTTGCCAATCTTAGGAGATAATGTCATGGCGCAATTGATTTAAAAAACACCACAGATTCAGTAATCATTAAGCATTACCCTTCACGGTCAATCAGAAAAGATTAAATGTAAAATTTCGCAATTTGCTACAATTGCAACTAAAATTGAACTAGTATGTAGTAATCATACTTGTTGATTAAAGTGGGTTGTCTCCAGTTACAAGAAGAATATGATAACTGAAAATGCATCATTCTAGTGAGTGAAGATGAAGGTTCCTCAAGGCAGACAGCTTCTACATTGGATCTGAAGTACTCATAGGATAAAGGCTGGGAAGTTGCAGGACATCCATATGACAGAATATTGGTAACCATACTGGAAGGACCTTGCAGTCTGCAGACATAACTTTAAGGGTTAATACAGGCTATGAACTACCAAATTGGTACTATTTCATTTGATTTTCTAGCATTACTAATTTTCATTTTACAGTTGCGTGCTTTATGTGTGTATGTGCTTTATGTGCTGTATTGGTACCAAAAGACTGTAATGGCAAGGATAGCTGTCTCAAATATATGCGGCAGAAACTTAAGCAAAGTCACTAATTCACATCCAACCAAAGCTCTTGTTTGGAAGGAAATTATGGTATGACATTTATATTCACCCTTTTAGCCTCTCCTATCCACCAAGGTTAATGACATCAATACTAGCACCAAAATGACCAAATGACGCATGGAATGGACTACTTTTAAGTTATAAGGGAACATGTTAGAGATGGGAAGATGCAAACTCGAATATCTGTTTTAAAAACTACATGCGTTAATAATTTCTGAAAAAACAAATAAGAATGACTGAGTTTCTCAGTAAATGGTTACTAACTGTCTCCAAGTACAACTCAATACACTGCTAGAAAACTTATAATATCAGTTGCAACTTGGAGACTAATTGATGGTAATTACACGTTGCAAAATCACACAAAGTGATTGATAATTTAGCTCCGCAAGCCATTACATTGGATTTCTATATGAATAACCTAAGTCGCATCAATCTTGACAAGCAAGTTAGGTTTTGATACTCATCATTGTATAAGTGTCATTTCGATACTCTCAGATATATCCAATTGATGATATGACATAAAGAGAGTATTATTTCAAAGCAAAGAGATCTCAAAAAGTTAAGTATATCATCAGAACAACCATTACTCTATCTAAACATGAATATTTGTTGTTACATCTTCCTCTATCTAAGACTCCCTCAACAGAAAAAAATCTATGTATCAGTAAATAAACAAAAATAAACAAATGATTGTGTTCAATAGAAACTTTATATCATTCCCGCGAGGAGCCCTTGTCAGGCTACAGGCGGGAAAACTCGTGAATAGGGAGAAATAACAGTATCAGCGACATATATCTTCGAGTTACTAGGATCAGGGACCCAATGAATCTCACTCATGTTTGGTGTCTCGACAAAGGACATGGTGAACTCTCCCACCTTTTCTGCCTTACCTCTCTTGCCAGCTCTTAACACAAGAGTGTTGCGACAGTAAGAGAATATGCCATCTGAAAGAGTAATAATGTCACCAGGCTCAAATTGATCACACTCATCAGCCCACATCTGGAAATGAACGGCTGCAGTCTCATCACCCACTAATGCCAAGCACATCTTTGGTTGTACATCTACTGATACTCTTCCTTTGTCTAAAATAATGAATTTTGTGTTTACATTGTTCAATGCAGCTGGTACAATGTCTTTCAAAAACTGCATCCTTTGGACTATGGGGCAGTAACTTTCTGCAATCAATAATTTAATGTTTTGCACCATTATTTTGCCAAACGTGTACTAGTACTCCTCATCCAAATGCAGGAAATACTTAAAGAATCTAAAAGACTAAAATAGTAGGGTATATATAAATTTCAAACAATGACTAGAGCCACTAGAATGTTTTGTTGAAGCAATTGTGAAATATATGTTTAATGATGGGAGGGTCAGTATATGAATACAATCAAATTATCTTTTTCGCTTAAGGAAGAATATATTGATTCTTCAATAGTTTCTTTCAGATTATTTCCTTTGAGTTCAACTAAGTTGCATGTGAAAACCCTAACCTCTAGAACCTCTCACCTTAGCCATCAAAGCATGATGCTACCATTGAAATTGAATACATGATACCTCACAGTACAAGTGTTTGAGCGCTGTTTCAGCTTCCATTATCTAGAAGCCACAAATCCAAGCTCATTGGTTTTAAGCCAAAAATAAATGTAATATAACAGCCAGAACCTTGTTTTACCAGCAACAGGATCCCAGGTGTGCCGGACAGCCATGAACAAAGAGGAACTCTTGTGCGGAGAAAACCCACATATCATGAAAACCCATTTTTCACTATATAAACCCAATTAAAGCTCAACATTATTCACGAGTTTTCCATAGCTGCCCATCTCAATTATGTAGCTCTGGGGCTTTTGAGCCCACTGAGCTGCCATCCAGATGACTAGAGGACCCATTTTGAGTCATAAATCCTACAATCTAATGGAAATTTGAAGATCTGTTCTGTATATGCAAATTTAAACCACATTTACACCACATCAATGGACATAAATTTGAAGCGGAAGTGCCGAGCATCTTGGTGTTTCTAGAAAATGAAAATCAATACTCTCTCAAAGTAGCATTTTTAAAATGATACAATTAGCGAAAGACTTCTCATATACACAATTGAACTCGTGCAGCTTATTCAGCTGGAGCAGCAATATAAAAGGGTTGCAATGGCTTTTCAGCTATTCATGTAGACACATAAAAGCACAGCACACAAAGGAAAGACCGAGAGATAACTCACTAATGGAAAAAGTTTTTGTTGTAAGCTCTATGGTGAAGTCTAGAGTGGCAGAGAAGAGCTCCTTGCTCTTCCGCAACTAAAAATTTCATTATTGTATGCCTAAATGCCTAAAACGCACTACAATTTCATTATAAAATTATTACAGATCGGATGGAAAGGTGCGTTAGTGTTGTTAAGTGCAGCACGAGTTCAGGGGAAATAACCACAAATATTATTCAATGCTTCGGCTCAGCCAATAAATATTAAATTGAAAAAGGAAACTTTATTCATTTCAAAGTGAATGATAATAATAAAGGACTAGTCTATCATTCACGTAAACGCCATACCTGAGGAGAATAGCGTGGCCGGACACGAGTCGGGCAGGCCTGGGACAGGCGTAGGGCATTCGAAGTGACTTATGTTGGCTGGATACGCGGACAAGGGCTTGTACACGGCCGGGATGGCGGGATACGTCTGGATACGGCGGGGGAACGGCCAGGCTATGGTGGTGTTAAACAGAGAGGTCGGACCGGGGTCGGAGTATATTCCGGAGGGGGCGTGATTCAGAGCAGCAGTAGTGAGGGGCGTAGGGGTGGTGGACTTGGAGTTTGGAAGAAATATCCGGCGATAATGCCGGGCAAGTTTGGTCGAATTTCAGGGGGGCTTTCTTCCAGTGGAAGTGCAGAACGGCGAGAGTGAAACTCCTACTGTAATGTTCTAGGCCACTTACTAGTTACTTCTTTTGTAACACATGACTAGAATTTCTTTTCATCAAGTATGGAAATAAAAGAAAGAGTTAATTATCAAAATAGGACTAAAAGTTATTCACTTTTCACAAATAGGACCAAAAAATAAACTATGTTTGCATAGGACTAATTATGTGTATCTTGGACAATTATACTCTTATAGTTATTAAAATGTTTTAATTCCTAATAAAATAATAAAAAATAATAAAAATTAGTAAAAAATACTAAAAAATTAAGAAAAACATTTCGATATTAAAAATTTAATTAATTATTTTTTCATAAAATTAAAAAAATTAAAAAAATATAAAAACTCAAAAAAAAAATCGCCGCCGTCTCTGCCGCCTCAGCACCACCACCTCCAGTCGCCAGGGGAAAAAAATGCCAAGTTCATTACGAATGCCATATTTATGGCAGAAAAAAATGAAAATGTTGGCATTCGAAAAAAGAAATATGCCACTTTTTTGGCATTTTCAGAAAAAAATGGCATTTTTCTGGGAAAATGGCATTTTTTTCATCGACCGGAGGTGGTGGTGCTGGGAGGTAGTACAGGCGGTGGGAAAGGCATCCATATTTTTTTTAATTTTTTTACGGAGTTTTACTATTTTTTATTAATTTTTTTAAAAATAAAATTATTTAAAAAAAATTGAATTTTTTATTTTATAAAAATTTTATAAATTTTTTAATTATATTTCTACGAATTTTTGATTTTTTTTCGAATTTATTATGAATTAAGCATTTAATTATGGCTTTTGACTATTTTTAATTCATATTTAATGGAAGGGTAAGAGTGGAATGCAAAAATAGGTATGTTTCCAATAGGACTCATATGGTCCTATTTTGGAATAAAAACATAACAAGTCCTATTTTAGATTTTTGCCATAGTTTTAGTCCTATTTGAACTAATTTCTATAAAAGAAAGTAAATCAAGACTAAGGGGGTTGTATTGTATTAGGATTTAGTGTTAAAATTTTAAAAGTCCATGGATTTTAAAAATTTAGGTGTATTCAATGTGAACTTTTAAAAGTCTATAAAAGTCTAGGTGTATTCAATGTAGACTTTTAAAAGTCTATAAAAGTCCAGGCATATTCAAAGTTCCATTCATTCCTATGAATTTCTAAAATCTTGGATTCTCGTGGTCTTTTAACTCATTTTTAGTACATTAATTCTCCCCAATTATCTTTCTCTTCACTAAAGATTTCCGTGGACTTTTCTTATATCGATTCTTCATCCCATCTCACCCCATCCCTCCTCTCCCCCAACTCTCCTCTTCTTTAGTCAGGCCACTCCTCCCCCTTCGATCTTTCTTCTTCTTCTTCTTCAGCCCAGCTCGCCTCACTCCTCTCCTTCCGTTCTTTTTCTTCATCAGCGTGCCCCACCCCACCCCCCTCGATCCCCCCTCAATTCGTTAATCCCATATTGGTTCGATTCTAGAAGTTTCTAGAAGAACTGGTATAAGAATCGATAGTATTACATCAGTGCAATTCTGATACGTCGTCACTTAACTATTAAGAAAATAAATATTTTAACTATTACTTTCTTTCATCGTTAAATCGTTAACACATAAAAATATAATTTCAAGTTAATAAATATATAACCGTAAATAAGTACACAAAATTTTACAAGATAGAAATGAAAAGAAAACAATTATTAAGAAGATAAACTCGATTGCAACTATGCTTGCACCACATGTAGCAATGAGTGTAACGATTAATGTTCTTACTTATTAATTAAATGACCAAAATTCTTGATCATTCTTGAAATTTTGAGTTTTTTTAATAAAAATAAATTTGGATTCTTATCCTTCATTTATTCTTGTAGAACTTTTGTGTTGCTATATGAATTACATTTATTTATTTATTTGTTTGTTTGTTTGTTTGTTTCTTATCATACTCCGTATTATACAGTGGAAATTACTCAGGGTAGGACTAAAACATAGCATTCTTCTTAAAGTATGATCATATGTTTGATTTTCCTTAAATAGGACTAAATATTACATATTCACCCCTAATTTAATTAATTAATATAATTAATTGCCCCTAGTTCCCTTGCATAACCAAATCGATTTTGTTGGTGGCAGATCAGTATGATGATGACAACGGGGAACTCCGGTGACAGGGCGGATGGGCAGATCGGTAGTGGTGATCTAGGTGAAAATTTCGACGGCCAACAGTGTTGGTCTGCATTTAAAAGTCCATTGACTTTTTGAAAGTCAATAAACTTATCCATGGATTTAAAAGTCCATAGAATTCATTCATAAAAAGTCTATGGATTTAAAAGTACATTGACTTTTTTAAAAGTCCACGGATTAAAAAAAGTCCACCACAATCCATATTCAATACACCCCCAAAGAATTGTCTTATTTAATAATATGTGCTTAGTAAGAAAGATAAAATTCTTGTATTAAATTAATAAAATATTATTAAATCAAATGTAGGATCCACGTAGAGGGGTGGTGTAAAACAACTTCTGAAAATGTTCACATATAACATTGGGTAAATTAAACATGACACCTTGATAGAAAGGTGAGGTAAATTTATATTTACAAATTAACTTTTATTGTGTAATGAAGCTACACGTGCGACCCACATCGAGAGCGGGGATCACCCGAGATATTTTAAGTGTCTAAGATATTAATGTTGATCTAAACGATACTATTATGATAGTAGGAATGAGTCGTGGACCCCAGTGATATAAAGAATGACAACTTGGCGGCCGAACGGGGCCACTGTCCAATAACTGCAGAGGGCTAGAATATCAGATCATTTATAATTCGAAAGATGACCGAATTAATAATAAAAGACATATAATTATTCTAAGAACCCAAAATAATGAGATGATTAATACTACCCCCATCTCGTTGGACTTTGCCAGGTGCAAAGTAGGTGAGAAATAAGAATAGTAAAAATTGTGTAGTTGAGATTTGTGCAGAGAAGAGAGAAATGTGAAGAACTACACATTAGTTGTTGTAATAAGAAAATGACAAAGTTCTTTGGGACAACCATAAAGGAAAAACGGGCGAAGTCCAATGGGACAGAAGGAGTATATGATTAATTTGGTATATTAAAGGAGGGTATTTTTGGATGATGCTACCTTGGAAGATATTTTGGTATGGGAACAAAGAGATAAGATTCCATTTGTTCATATATTTCGGACCACTTAAAAAGAAGTGTAGCGTTATATTAAAACTGGCACAAACTACCAAGTACCAACCCACATATTGAGTAATGAGAAATGATGAAATGAATTTACGAGACATACATTTTCATTTTTACTTTTACTTGAACAGTAAAATGCATGTTGGGCCCACACTGAGAGCGGGGACCAACTAATATTTCTGGGAGCACATATTGTATTCATCTTGGTCTAGATAATACAAGTATTTATATGATGGTGTAAATTCATGTTGAGCCATAGAGATGGCGGTTGATCAAACGAGGTCTCATTACTGGCATTAGTAATTAGACAGATAACAGCTTGAAATAAATTACGAGGACCACTAAATTAAAGTTAGGTAATATATATTCATTCTAGAGGCCAATATTAATTGGAAGAATGATATATATTTTATTTGGTCCGATAAAGTGAAATTTAATTAAAATAGTCCGGAAAATACAACTTTTGGGACCAAGAGTACACTTAAGGACATGAAGGGATGACCTCCCACATGAGTAGGGGTCACCCCGCAATTTTTGGTCAATAAGTGTGGAGAGACATGTGAAGAGATTGGAAATGAATTGAGATGATGGGAGGATTAATCAAGTCATCAAACGGGCCTTCCCCCACACCATTCATACATGAGAGACAAAAGGGACCATCTCAATCCCTTCCACCTACTAGTTCGGCCAATGCAACAAAATAAGAGAGAAGGGGTCTGCAACTTCTCATCTCCATAGCCTCTAACCAAGCTCAAGCTAGAGGAAGGCTCAAGGAAGAAGAAAGAGTGGAGAAAGTCAAGAAAACTTGGAAAAATCAAGGTGATGAGCTCGTTAACACTTTTTCCTCCATTTAACCTCATATGATTTTATAAATCATATGACAGACCCTTAAACTTATTCTACACTCCTAGAGATGTAGAATGAGAGGTTGGAAGGATAGTTTTAACCATGAACGGACTTATGACCGGAGTAAGACCGGTTCGCCGGAAAAACACCTTCTCGAAAGGTTTTGATGTTTATACAACTTTTGGTATATGGAACCTTGTTAGGGATTTTACCAACGTATTCTAGACTTCTTAAGAAGTCTAGGAGTGGCCGTAGAAGTCGCCGGAGTCGCCAGAGTTTTTGCCGGAAAATCCAAAAGTCACCGAAGGTCAAATGAAGAGGATAAAATCTTGCTAGCATCGTTTTAAGATGAGTTGACGATTATCTGTCTTGCAACTCTTGGGGTAAATGTGGGATTACCTAAAGTAATCAAAACTATGATTTGAGAAAGGATTTGATGGATTAAAATGAATGATTAATCGTGGTGAGAATGGATAAAGGGAGTATTATATGATTAATGAATAAAGGATTAAACTGTTGATTAATCATGAGTATAATGTTGTTAAATGTATAATAAGGCATACGTGGACTACATATGAGATTAACTAGAGTAATCTAGTACGTGAGTATGTATAGAAATGTTTAAAAGTGTTTAAAAATTAAACATGTGATTTACCACATTAATTATAAATTATGTGAAAATGACATGATTAATGAGTAAAGAATTATTAACATTCTTGATGAACGATAATCATGAACGATTTATTTGGGAAATGACCAAGGTAATTCAAGTGATATTATTGTGAAGAATTAAGAAATGCCTAAACATGTATGTTACTAAGATAATCTAGTTTATGAGAAATAAACTAGAGTAATTTACAATAATGATTAATTAGTATCAATGACTTGGTTAATAATTTTGTGAATACAATATTCCAATTGAATGATGAACCATGAATGGCTCATCTTGTGAAATGACTAAAGAAAATTAAAGGCGGTATGCTTATGAAGG